ATACTGCACAGTCCAAATATGTTTTGCATCCCTTCAAATTTAGCCCTTCTGCAAAATCTTGCATTTGCTGCAAAACTTTAAAGCTTGCATGGCCAAGTCTTCTATGCAGAAGAGAACACATGAATCATGCTCTGCAACATTCTTAAATATATGGGAACATTGAACCTTTTGTCCCTGCAATACCTATAGATTATCTTCCTTTATGCCTTCTGCACAAATATTCCCATTCCTTTTGATGAGACATTTCCCATTTACAAAAATGACCTCAAAACCTTGTTTGTCTAAATTAGACACACTTAACAAATTATGTTCCATCTCAGGTACACAAAGCACATTGGTAAACTTTGATTCCAAACATGGAATTTTTACATCGCCTCTTCCAATGACTTTTGCTTTCTGGCCATTTGCCAAAGCCACAGCTTCCTGTGCTACTGGAACAAACCTGCAAAATAATTCAGAGTCATTAACAATTGTTTGACTTGCCCCACTATCTATTAGCCATTTGTCTCTGTTGTTGCTATTGCAAACGTTTGCAACACCAAAATGTTCCTTTTGCAAAGCAGTCCTTTTTCCTTTTTCTGCAAATTATAGCAAGTCTTTTCCCGCTGAGCAGCTCTCTGCTTGCAAAATCTCTCCTTTGTTGCAATTTGGTCCGGGTCTGATCTGCTTGTTTCTTCTCTGGAGACTTGCAATCTGGACCCCCTCCTCAGGAATTTCTCCTCCTCGTGGCTGCTTCTAAAATGGCGTTTTTCTTCTTCATTAAGCAAACATGCCTTTAAAGCCTCAAACTTTAAGTCTTGCTCTTCTTTGCATTCAAATATTGCAGAAACTGTGTCCCAGGTTTTATCTAAACTGTTCAACACCAATAAAACCTTTTGGGACTCAGGGAATTTAATCCCACGTTGTTCTAAGTCCAAAAATAAACTTTGCATTTTATTTAAATGCTGTTCCACAAATTCACCTGGTTGCAAACAGGCTCTGTAAAGTTTTCTTGACAATTGCACTATGTTGCAAGCAGAAACATTCATGTGCACAGCTCTCAATTTTAACCATATCTCCTTTGCAGTCTTTAAATTTGCAACATTTAGAAATTCTGCATCATCTAAATTCAATATGAGATAAGCCATTGCTCTATCATGATTTTTCTGATCAACAGCTACAAACACTTGTGGTGGATTTTCTATAATTTACCACAGCTCTTTTGCTTTCAGCAAACATTCCATTTTTGCAGCCCACACAGTATAATTCTTCTGGCCCAAACGAGGCACAGAGGTTTCCTCAAATTCCATTGTAGCCATTCTGCTAATTCTGTCTTGTTTTTATACTTTCTAAACACAGGCAATTTTTTCCAGCTTTAAATTACAATGCAGACCTTAGTAAGCTCTGGGCCCATAACCTGTTAGAGAATTTTAATTTCTCTATTGGTGAAAAATAAAGCTCTCACAGTTGACTGCATTTAGCTGATTCAAATAACTTTATATTTATATAAAAATATTTACAGTACCATTCTTCTTTACAGCAACATAGCTTAATGAAGACTTCTTACAGAGACAGACAGACCAGAGACAAAGCCTTGAGACTGGAAATCCAGCTCCTAACTCAATACTCTTTTTGCACAGACTCAGTAGCACTTTCCTCACATTGGTTGACTGAGTTACCACATGACTCTTCCTGTTCATGAATATTCCAACAGGTAAGACCTATGCCAAAAGTTCAATCCTGCTGGACACATCTTATCAGAGGAACCAGACCAAAAATGCCTCTCCCATAAATAATATGGCGAGCCATAATTTACAGGAACCCATACTGGATTAGTTATCACTCAGGTCAACAAGGACAGTACTAAATGTTGCTGTTTGTGAATATCTAGTGACTGGGAAAGCCAAGGGAAATCACCAAAACAATTAAGAAACAAAAATTAGAATATTTCAGACATGTGGTACAACACCCAGAAAAATACGGCATACTCCATTTAATCCTCCAGGGAAAGACTGAAGGCAAACGAAGTCCAGGAAGAAGAAGAACATTGTGGTTTCAAAATCTAAAGGATTGGTTTGGACAAAACTCAGCAGCACTTTTTCGTGCGGCTGCTGATAAAAAAAGGAACCACCAACATGATTGCCAATGTCCGATAATGGATATGGCACAAGAAGAAGAAGAAGTGACGAATGGGCTACAGGATTGTAGGTTGAGCAATTAGAACTAGCAGCTATTGGAAGAAAAGCTGGAGTATAAATCAGATATCACAAATATATAAAAACTAAAAACATAGTCTTTTGTTCACATACTTTACATACATGTATATGCTGGTGCTTTATTTAAACTTATATTTGTATCTGTCCATATAATATGTTTTATTAGTGTTGTAATTAGTGATTGCAGGTCCTTATAATGTGTTTCACTAGTGTTGTATATCAATGATTGCATGACCTCTGTAGATATCACACGCTAAATAAATAAGTAAGGTAAGTAAGTAAGTAAGAGCAGAACACAGGCTAGCAGGTAAGTATCCTTTTAAAATATAAAATAAGGTAAAATAAGAACTGCAAAGATCAACTTGGGGCAAAGAAATTGAAGCCTTGCCAGAAATAGCTCCTATTATAGAGGTAAACCAGGGGAAGCCAGCATAGCTACCAAATTGTTTTCATTCCCAAATGAAGCACCTCTTCTTCTTCTTTCTCCTCAGAAAGAAGACAAAATGAAACAAATAATAACTCAACTTCAAGAACAGCATATACAAAAAAAAATAAGGTTGCATACATTGAAACTTGTTCCAAAGAAACAGCTAGCACAAGAATTAAAAAATGTCAATATTATAATGTGAAATATAAGCACCAACTCATTGCAAGAAGTAAACCAACTGTATTTGGTTGGTTTGCTCAGGTATTGTAACTAAATACCTGAGTTGCAAAATCAACAAAGAGGAAAAAAAAGCCAAACAATGCATTATCAAAATAGAAGATGAGGTTGGAAAATAAGATCAGCACATTAAGAGTTAGGATTAGGGTCAGTGACAAGATGATTTTGGAAAACTGCAAGAGAAAGAAGACCAACTTGAATGGAGGTTGTATACAACAAGACTAAATAATGAATAAAAAAGATACATGGTAAGAAAAAATATTAACCAGTACATTAAAAAACAAAACAAAAACAGGCCAAACAGTAAACAAGAAGACCTGGCAATGGCTAAGAGCAGTTAAGAAAGAAAGAGACAAAAGGGCTAGTTCTGCACAAGATCCAAACAAATGCACACACAAATGCTGGAATTGAGAACTCAGCAATAGACAGCAAATTTGCTTCTGCAAAGAAGCTAAAAGAGTGGACCACCTAGTAACTACTATAAAAATATCACACAGATTGACTACAAACAAGTAGAAATAATGGTACACTGGAATATCTATAAGAAAGGCCACTTATTTACACACGAAAATTGGTGGGACCACAAACTAAAGAAAGTAATAGAAAGTGAAGAAGATAAAGTGATCTGGGAATTCAAACAGACAAGCACCTGCCACAAAGCATTCCAGACTAAACAAATATCATAAAAAAAGACAAAAGAGTCTGGATGGTGGGTATGGCAGTACCTGGGGAAAGCAGAATAGAAAACAAAGAACTGGAGAAAATCACAAGATTCAAAGACCTGCCAATGCAAATAGAAAAACAGTGACAGAAGAAAGCAAAATATTATCAGTAGTAATAGGCTCCTTGGGTGCAATGCCAAAACAACTGGAGTACTACTTGAACTTGATACTATAACCACTGGTCAATTTAAAATCCTGAGATACCTTTAACACCAACAGACAATAACACTTGTTATCCCAGGTCCTTGGTAGATAAAAATGCCAAATCCAATCTAACTATGTGACTGACTGACTGACTTTCAATATATCAAAAAAGTATGCAGTTCAATTTCCTGTGACTCCTCACTTGACACAACATTCCCCAATCTGTCATCTCCATCTGTATCTCCTATACTCCTCAGACACATCTAAAACTTGAATTGTTAAAAATATTAAGAGTATTAACATAATATACGTTCATTTAATGAAATTACTTGCAAAATATGGCAATATTTTGAAAAATTAATAATTGAAAACTAGACTAATGGAAGTCAAGATTATTATTGGTAAGAATCTAAATAACAGTCATGGACTATTTTTGAAGAAATTGGATGAGAAGCAAAATGTCTTCAAGAAAAAACAAAGAAAGTCCAGTTGCCCTTTGAAAAAGCACCTTTCTGACCACGACCTGGATGATAGAGAATCTCCAAAGATGGTCACAGGCAGATAATCTTTGATATGAGAGTTGGAAGTGAATTTATTTATAGATATTAGATATTCCAAAATATACTGAATGTTTCTTTTATATTTTGAGATAAACTGTGTACATACAAAGTTAGTATCACAATAGCTGGCAGCAGCAGAGATCCTGATAAGCCATTTTAAGCTATAGATTCAATGTAAAAGTTTTTGAATAGTCTTCCTGATTCACTTGATTTAAGTTCATCAAACTTAACATTACTACAATAAAATATCTGTTTAATAAATACAAATATACTGTCAAGTCTACAACAAACCTGGCTGCAGCTATTTTTGTTGTTCTAGATTGCCACAAGAAAGGGAGGGGAAAAGATATTTCTGGTAGTCTAAACATGAGCAAATCTTGTGGGAACCAATGTCATTCCCACTACGGAGTGGAAGAGGAGGATTGTTTAGTCAGAAAGCCCGTCAAGTCGTTCTACTGATAGCATTAGTAGACGGTGGGAATTTTTACATTGTATTACTTTGATTCTAGGAAGGAAAGTTTAGATTTGGTTTTACTTCTGACTGTGCTGATGCGATGTACCCAATAAGCATGTTCTTTGAGGAACTCTCCTGTCTCGGAGTTCTGATTTATTTGGTCACATTTGTCAAAACCATGACATATACTTTATTTCTTCTTTCTTTATAAATGTAAGTTTAAGAAAAGCTGTCCAGATAGAATAGTTGGAGAATTCTTACCTATATGATAAAAAGATCCCATCAGTATCCAAAGTAAGCTGTACTCTTCCATTTTCATTTGACACATCTGAAATGATCAGACATGAGAATTTTCAGTATGTTAACTGCAAGATGCATGAGTATGAATCTATAAAAATATTATACCTTTGATTGGAGATACGTACAACTGGAGAATATGCACAATCATACTTTGGAAATATTTATAAAGCCTGTAATATCTATGCTATGCTTAAAATATTTTTAATAGGCACTACACAACAAATAGTTTTCTATAAACTTCTTTACCATTATACATGGAAAGTTTTAGTTACATTGTATTATACTAAAAAAGCAAGCACAGTATTATATTATAGAAGTAAAATTGCATTGAAAAATGTATCATGTTAATAGCTCAATCAAGAGCTCTGATAAATCAAATTTTTTAAATTTCTCCCTCCCTATAAATTCTAATGAACATTAATGTTAAATATTAAAATATGAACAGTACAATTTAGTCTCCAGATTGATTGTTGTAGCACATTTTTTCTGAAAGATAATAAAAACTTGATTTCATAGACGTAAGTGATTTCAAACTGAGCAGATTAAATCTGACAAAGTTTCTTAATTCAAGGTTTCTGGAAAGGCACTTTAAAGATCAGGCTAGATGGGCAGAGCGAAGGTAAGCAGCAGCAGCAGCACACCGATGAAAAGATATTGGGAAAACTATTAATTTAAACTTCAAGCCTGGTTTTTAAGGTGTTTTAAGAAAGTCCCCATCTCCAGACTATGTTATCGCCCAAATTTGATGACTTTACTTTTATTCCCCCATCCAAGGTATTTTTAAAGATGTTGAAGAGCATTGGTCGTAGAATAGGGTCCTAAGGAATCCCCTGCATACTCCCCTCGACAGATATAAATCTATTAAGGATCACAGTTTGGGTATAGTAATTCAACCAACTGCAAATTCATCAGGCAGTGGAAATATTCATCTCACACTTTTCCATTTTATAAACAATATCAATTTTGTCAAATTTGTTATTGAAATCTTATTCTAAAACCACAACATTTTCTTGGTCTATTAATATTAATCACTTTATCTTAAAAAGCAGTATGATTTGGCAAAGTCTATCTTTAACATACTGGTTTCTAGTAATCATGTTTGTTTTTATGTGTTTCAAACCTACTACTTATCTTTTCAAGGATTTTCTAGGTACCGTATATTCCAGCGTATAAGACGACTGGGTGTATAAGACAACCCCCAACTTTTCCAGTTAAAATATAAAGTTTGGGCTATACTCACCGTATAAGACTACCCCTCTTCCAACGCACACCAAATAAAAATTAAAAAACATCAGATTTGATTTCAATATGGTAATTTTAATTCAATTGCTTATGACATACAGGTACTTAGCAGGAAAACTGTCACTTATAAACATAAATAAACATAAAACAGTGCAAGTGATTAAACTTTTCCTAATTCACTCTAAAGCTGAAAGAAAGGATAAGACAATAAACCCATGGGAGCTGCCATGCTGTTTGTTTTCTAAGCTGTCAACCAAACTGGAACTGATGATGATAGGAGGAAGATAACAAACAATAGAGAGAGCAAGTGCCGGGCAAGTCCCTGGAGAGTCAGCAATGCCCATCATAACTGCAAGCTATTTTTACAGGTTTTGCTGGCATGATACTTTCCCTTTAAAAGCCTTTAAAATTATCCTGTTCGTCATCTGATATCATAAGTACATCAATGACATCTTGTGATACATTTGTAAGGCAGTCATCATATGGATCGAATTCCATATCAGATGGTGTGGTCTCAGCTTCGGCTTCCTCTTCATCTTGCCACAAGTAGTCGTCCTCCATACCATCTAATGAATTTGATATGCCACACTTCTTGAAAGACTTGATTATTGTTTCTGCATCAATATCATTCCAGGCTTTTATGACAAACTTGCACAAAACATCCAACTGTGGAGCACGCATGTTTCCTCCTTTTGTGAATGACTTTTCGCCGCTAACCATCCATTCATTCCACTGTTCTCGAATGCGATCTTTAAATGGCTTGTTTAGGCACACATCCAGTAGCTGTACTAACGATGTCAATCCTGCAGGAATAACTGCCACATCTGTGTTTAGTCTTGCAAGCCTTTGCTTGGCGCTGGGAGTTAAATGAGCCCTGAACATATCCCACACCAGTAGACTACGTTTTTGAATAAGTCCACCTGGTCGCCTGCTCCATACATTATCAAACCATCCAGCCTTTTTCATTCACATGTACAAAACAACCAACAGGGAACTTGAGTTTCGGCATTGTTTTTCTTTTAAAAATAATCATTGGTCTCAGTTTGGCACCATCAGCTGTGCATGCTAGTACCACTGTAAAACTGGACTTCTCATGTCCTGTTGTTTTAATTAAAATTGTTTTTTCACCTTTTTGATGGACAGTTTTATTTCCAACCATATCAAAATTCATTGGAGTTTCATCCATATTTCCATGTTTAATGCGCTGTTGTATTACGTATCGATGGAAACTAATTACTTTGCTATCAAGATCTGCAGGTAATTTTTGTGCAATTTTCGTCTTTTGCCTTAGTACCATATTATGCCTTTCCAAGAATCTAGTACACCAGGATGCAGTGGCCTTAAATCTGTTGCTGTGATCTGGGTTAGATTTGGCCACTGACGTGCAAACAAACGTACCGTATATTCCAGCGTATAAGGCGACTAGGCGTATAAGGCGACCCCCAACTTTTGAGAAGATTTTCAGGGTTTAGAATGTCATCTTATACGCCAGAAAATACAGTACAATATTGAATTTCTGTTTATAGATGAGCACAATAGGAGCTCCTTTGCTGCTAGAAAGCTTTGTCCTGTTAGTGCTTATTTCTGTAAAAAAAAATAGGGCTGGCCACTAGGGAGCAGATTGGTTTTAAATTCAGAGAACAGCTACCCATATATTCCTGCGTATAAGACGACCCCTGACTTTTGAGAAGATTTTCAGAGTTTAGAAGTTGTCTTATACACCGGAAAATACGGTATTTTATTTCATGTCACTACATAACCGTTTTGGTGATGCTCATTCACCATGTCTGCTACATGTTTTTCGAGTTCTGGCCAATGTGGGGTGCCTCTTCTTAATGCACACTTACCCTTGGCATACTATTTAATGCTTTTTCATTTGCTTTCCAGTCCCGAACTATCTTTTCTGTTACTCCATATTGTCTTGCAGCAGCGCAGTTATTATATTCCATGGCAAAGTTTACAACTTTAAGTTTGAAACTGGCTTATATTTCTTTCTTCTTGCTGGTGGAGCCATGATGGGGTCTTGACTATTGGACATTTGTATACTGTACTGTTATGTATTGGTGCTGTACTGTATGAACTGGTATAGATACTGGTGCTGTACTGTATGTACCCAGTATACAACAACCACGGCAAGCGATGAACCTTACCAGTGATTGGCAGGTTGTTGTATACAAAGCCTGCTTGGATTGGGTGGGTCAGCTCTACCTGCCTGCCCAACCCTTCCTGTCATCTTATAGGCCAGGGGTAGGCAACCTTGGCTCTTTTATGACTCATGGACTTCAACTCCCAGAATTCCTGAGCCAGTATGCTGTATAGGCCCTAGGGAAAAAATGGACAAGCTAATTCCATGAGGGAGGGGAGAAAGGGAGCGCAGTTTCTGAGTTCTCATTGGCCACCTGTAAGCCCAAATGAGTAGCTCAGGGTGTGTGCGTGTGTGTGTGTAGGCATGCGTGCGACTCCCCGGGTTCCTTCCATTGTCCCCCCCCCCAGTAGCAAGCTTTGGCTTGGAGCAAGCAGGCTGCACACAGGGATCTTCTCCTCTCAGTCTTCCACCCTGCGAATCCTCCACAGCCTCCCCAAGCCGAGTGAACGGAAAGCCTGCCTGTTTGTCAAAGGCTCTGCCTTGTCAATCGCACACACATCTTGATGAAAATTGCCCTGCCTGGAAAAGGACTTCTCAGCAGTTTTTTAAAGCAACACTACCAAGAATGAAATTGGCGACAGCCAGAATGTTTAAGGAAGAAGGAAAGGAAGCAGTTAATAAACTGAGTAAGAAAGGCATTCGCCCTTCGAAAACTTGCATTTCCACAAATGTGATAAGTTGCCCCCTTTTCAGGTAATGGGGGGGGAGTAAATGCTTTCCTTTTAATTTGTTATTAAAACTCAGAGCACTACAGTACTTATTGATGGGAGCCAGATTGACCAGCCAGGATCTGTCATAAATAACACCACAAATGCACCATGCAAGTTTATTTAGGTGGTGGGGGGGGAACTGCTGGCATAAGCTTGGTGGAAGTCGACAGGCGAAAGGATCGTGTAGCTGTTTTCTGTCCCCACTCCATTCCTGCTTCGTAAATCTGAGAGGAATTTAGCTGACACCCCTCCCCTTCCAGACCCATAAGCTCCACCTCCCCAAGCTACTCTCACCGGCAGTGAGAGGTAAACGCTGAAAAGCCTGCATGAAGAAGCGCTGAGAAGTGCCTCGAATGGACACAGATGCTTAGGTTTGTTTTCATTATATAAAAAAACCAACCTACAACTCTTTCCCCCCCTTCCCCATTACATGGCCATCCCTACTTCCTTCAAATGAATGAATCACGGGACGGCCACTACCAATCCACAGTTCTGGAGGGGTGGGCAAGGAATTGGGATGGCAAAAGAGAGGGAAGAAGAGAGGAGATGGTATGTAATGTAGCATTATAGAATGGGGAATAAACCTCCAGGAAATCTTACCGTCACGACAGCCAGATAATGCCTATCGTACTCCCAGTATAGAGGCTGGAAAGAAATATCTTTAGTTGATCGGCTGGTTTTAATAATAATAACCCTAGGACTCTTGAGCGAGAGGGGGGGGGGAGGAGAGAAAACTTGCTGAGTAATATCTTTCCGGTGTATAAGAAGACCCCCAACTTTTGAGAAGATTTTCAGGGTTTAGAAAGTTGTCTTATACGCCGGAATATACGGTATTGATAACATACTGATTACTCTATAGGTACTTCTAAGCATATTTTCCCACTTTTTAAAAGATTGAAAAACAGAAGGTCATCAATGTGTATTTGAAAA